CGATATCCCCCGCTTAGCCTCATTTGCATAGCTCTGGGGCAACAACCCGCCCGTGTAGACACAGCCATGAGCTCTCTCAACTGAAGTCTCACCATTGACGTTCTACATCTCCGCTGCCACAGCGCCCCCTAGCAGCACCAAAGAGCAGTAGGTGCAGCGCTGACTCGCAAGGAAGCTTGCTTGAGTCACCGGTCCACACCCTGCAGCTCCCAGCTGTTCCGAACAGGGGCGGGGGCTCCCCAGCCCTGCCCGTCCTGGGATGGGAGCCCCTTCACTCCCAGCGTGAGACACTGGCTGCCCCTTGGGACAGCTTTCAATTGTCCATTTGTCTACGTCTCCCCCTGCCCCCAGAGAAACTCCCCGAATCACACCCTGGTTACTCCCGTGGCAGGTCGTGCACCCGGGGGACCTGAAGAGCTCCGTGGAAATGGCCCTGAACAAGCTGCTGGACCCCATCAGAGAGAAGTTCCATACTCCAGAACTGAAGAAACTGACCAGCGCAGCGTATCCTGACCCTTCCAAAGCCAGTAAGCAAATGCCATGAGCTTCCGAGGGAGGGGATCTTCTCAGAGGCCTCCCAGTGGGGCAAAGAGCAAATGGAAAGAATCTGGACTTGGAATTCCAAGCCAGCAATGGCCAAGTCTGGGGGAATGCTGGCCTCGGCCGCTGGTTAGGGAAGCCCTTCTCCTGCCTCTCCTGGGCCAGCATCTCTCCCCTCTGACTTGGATTGCCCCCAGCAATGAGGGGTGAGGAAATAATGGGCTATGTGCTTATCCCAGAGACTACAAATCCCAGCATGCAGTGCAGCATGTCCTGCCGAGCTGCACTCAAGCTGAAGCACTGCATGCTGGGACCGGTGGGCCCCACAGGCTGTATTAAAGATGCAAGTGGCTGCAGTCTGCTGGGTGTTTTTGCATTAATTGGGCGCTCCTAGAAAACTAGACCCCGTGGCTCCTTTGCTGGACAGGACTCATGTTCTCCTAGACCCTGCACCCCTCCCACAAGGGCGCTGTGGCATGGCTGGGCACAGCTCTTCGCAGTGCAGGCTGCTTTCACGCTCTCTCCTGTGCGCATGCAGAGGCTTCGGTGAAGAACTCCACCAAGAATTCAAACCCCGAGGACGTGGTGCCGTCGCAGCTGGACATCCGCGTTGGCAAAGTGATCAGCGTGGAAAAGGTAGCGGAGCTTTAGCAAGCGTCCTGGGAAGGGGAGAGCAGGGATGGCAAAGAAGGAGGGGGAGAGACCAGTGGTTTTCAAGGAAAGGAAACCCTTCCCGGCTTGGCAGAACGGGCTGGGTCGCTCTGCGCTCTTAGCGCTCGTTTGCTCTGCAGGGCCAGGCCTTGCAGCCCTTCTCTTGGGTTTCTGAGCGCCCTGTGCCTGGCAAGGCCCCGTACGGGAGGACCAGGCTTGGGAGGCAGTGAGAAAACTGGGTCCTGTCTGGCAGGAGCTCTGACCGCAAAATGCCATCTCTGGGCAGTTGCGTGAGGTGTGTGGGATCTAGAAACTACCTGCTGGGAGGCATGTTTGAGCCGAGATGGTGCTGGGGATGAGGCCTGCCCCCAAACAGCGTGCTTTCCCTTTAAACAGCTCTGTACTGTTAACACGGCAAGGCCGACCTGCGGAACTCAGTTCTGCAGGACGTTGAGACAAGCAGCTTAGTTTACATAAAGATCAGATGCTTTAACAGAAGGAAACGCTGCTGCAGTCACGCTGCACAGAGCTAACCAAAGCAGATTAGCAGGGCCAGGGATCATAATGCGCCAGTGCCTCAGGTGGGCACCTGCTGAGGTCAGGAAGAACGTTCCTCGTCCCTAGAACTCTTCATTAATGGGATTGTATTGTGGAGAGGGGACCTGTCCCCAAAGGCAGCCAGCACTGGTGTGTCCTGGGAACCAGACCGTTCTTACGTTCTCCCGGTCACCTCACTTAACGGGGACTATGAAGGAAATTGCCCCATGGGAAATTCTCCCTCCTGGCACTGGTGGTTGCCACCTCCCAGCCCGAGATGTGGAGGGAGGCAGCCAGTGGAGAGCAG